AAATATTCATACAAAAACCAATTTCAATACATATATTGCAACAAATACGAGGCAACAGACAGACGTGTTGTCTGTTTATCTTTGTATTGTTCAAAACTAGAATGCCATTTTTTTATTTATTTTTTTGGCACTGCAACGGTGCAGGAAACACTCTAGAACTAGTTGTAGTGCAAGTAGTAAAACAAGCTTGTATAGTGTGTGAGCTTTATTCCATTTTTCACACTGGTGCTAGCGGTGTGATAAATGCTGGCTATTATGATTTCACCGGAGTTTTGCCAGAGGAAGAAAAGCAAAGACAGCAGATTTCCAGGACGTCAGGCGCTCTCCTCCTCACCGCCTGTGATAGTAGGTCACGGAGAGGCTGTGGAGGACTGTTGTTTCTAATAAGCTTTGAGTGTGCCGGTCCTGTCTCCATCTCTCATGAAAACAACCTCCTCTCCTCACGAAACATCCAGGTATGACAAGATGGGAACTATGCTTTCAACCTTTCCCCTGCCAGAATATGCAGCATGGAAACATTAGCTTCCTGAAAACTTTTAATCTGTCACTGTAATGGCTGTATGTGAGTGTCTGGAATAAAGAGAAGAACAGGCCCTGACACGGTGGGGTTTTTTAAAATTTTATTTTTTTATATATATTAGCTATCAGCTCATCAGCCGTCCCCACGGGTCCAAGGGAAACTCTGCTTTCCACTAACAGGTGATGTAAGAAATAGCTGCTTCTGCATTTTACCTTTTCTCCTGCCTTTGTCTCTCTTTTTCCTGATGTAATAAGTGTCCAGCTGTGGAAGCTGGCTGCTGTGTGCACAATTTGCAGAGGGCTGCACTATATCACGCATCACCCTAGCTGCCAGTTTACGCTAAACATGCTTCCCTGGCCCTGGCAGGCCTACTGTAGGTGTGTTTTCCTCTCTGTGCTCCCCAAAGAGGTGGTTTAAAGAAGTCAGTCTGCAGGGGAACAGGATGGACATCTCCCAGACCTGCTGCATTCACTGACCGCTCCTTTAAAGCCCTGAATATTTGAGAAGGCAGTCAGGCTGCAGTATTACAGCTTGAACTGAGACACATTTTAATAATCTCGTGCTATAGATGCTGCACTCGTTGCAGGGTCAATAACAAACAATGCCTGAAAAATCTAGTTCATACCGTACATTATTCATGTATATATTACTACTTCAAAATATCATATAGTGCAAACAAAAATTGGTAAAATATTTGTCTTCCACCTAAAAAAAAATGAAAACTTTATTGAAATTACAAATTACAATAAAAATAAGATGCTTGGATCATTTTGATCAGTTTTCTGGGTACTCAACCTGAAATAAGTTTACTTTTTTTTTTAAATAAATCAAAACATTGAATATTGTTATGTTTTATTATATTATTATTCATGTTATTATCTGAAAAAGTAAAAAAAAAATGTGTGTAAAATAATAATAGTCATCTTCTTACCATGCTGATGATCATTAAGTAAGTTATTAAAAATGACAGTCCTGAGGGTCTACAGGGCCCACTTTGTGATTGTTTTCTTGTCACATGACAACATGCATGAGTTTTTTTTTTTTTTTGTCAGGTTATAATGCTTTTTGATATTAATGTGATCTCTTTCACTGTCACTGAAGGGCTGCTGCAGCATTTAGGATGTTATCACTGCGGTCGGGGCTAGTCTTATATCCTGGTGAGGTGAAGTGTACGAGAATGTCCTGAAATCTACCATCCATCCTCAGGGCAACTGCATCAGCTGGAGTGCAAAAACCCTGTCACCCCCTCAGAACAAGTACTTGCACTGGCAGAGCTGTCCGCAGAGCGAGGGGGGGGGTTGGTTCTACACCGGGCTGACACCGGTGTAGACGTCTGATCTGATGCGAACAGACATCTCCTCACACTTCACAGTTTGGATCACCTCAACTGGCGAGGATGGCAGGGAAAATGAGCGTCGCTCGGCTACAAAAGTCCAAATTTAGATTGACTGAGTTTGTCTCCGGGCCTGCGGGCTGACACGAGCGGGCCGCCACTAACTCGTTGCGGAAGGAGAGCGGGGACTGGAGTGACACGTCAGAGAAGGCTGGTTGCCGTTCGCTCATTCGTTGCGGGTGAAGTAGGGGAGGAGCGGCTACTTTGAAGCGACGGGAGAATGAAAGTGTCAGAGTTGGTTAGGATCCAGACTGGTGTTGGAATATGCTTGGCACTAATATGGCACCAGTATCTCTGTCCTCATCTCTGTTCACTGTCAGTACGTGCGATTCCGGGGCCCGTCTCTCTCCGGCTCTGACAGTGTCTTTTCGGATTATGTTAGTGGCACGCTCGGAGCGCTGCCGCAGCTCGCCCATCACTCACGAGCTTTGTTTGAAGCCTGCCCTTTTTTGTCATTAATGCACTTGATGTCTATTTAAAAACGGCGGCGAGCGCCGTATCTGTTTTCCTGTCAGGAGATCATTGACAGCATTAATGCCACTTGTCCTTGCCTCATTTACTAAAGCGCTGACACCTTGCTGCAGTCTGCCACATCCATCAAGCGGCTCTATTTCTCTCTCTCTTTCTCATGCCACTATGTCAGAACGATCCTGTCTTTAACACACTCAGACTGGGCTGTCTCGACACATCACCTATAGTCCTCAGTCAAATAGCGTTTTCAGAAAAGCAAAAAGATGTAAACAATACAAACGCTGCGGTCTTGTTCCTAACACTGGCATATGGTTTGCCAGGACATATATTGTTGATGTATGAGATAAGGGAACGGACTCTCGCACGCTCAATGAGTTATGACCGGTCTCAATGCTTAGGAGGAGAAAGTATGTGTTGCCAGATTAGTCTTTGCTAATTTTCCATTAATCACTGCTTGATGATGAGTTTTGTTGTGATTAAGCATCATAGCAACATTCCTGTCTTTAGGGCCGCTCAGACCTCCCCAGAAACCACCAAAACCACCTTAGTAACCGTCAAGCAAGGTCTTAGCAATGTTAAGTCTATTCCGGCAGAGCATATTTTGTAACGTCGTAGGACAAATTGTAATACCATGTTGGTAGATTAGCACCTGTAGAATTTCCTTTTGTTGAAAGCCCAGATTAAAGTAAGAAGCTACAAGTATATTTAAATCCATGTCCGAGGCATTTATTTACTCTAAAAGAAAAAGAAAGAAGAAAACTGTATTCTCGTAATTTTGACTTTATTCTTAAAATATTGTGAATTTATTCTCGTAATTTTAGATTTTTTTTTTTTTTTTTTTTACAGATTTTTTTTTTTTTTATGTTGCGGTTTAGGGCTTCCATAGTTCACACAGTATCATATTAAAAATAGTCATCTGTGTTAAACATCTGCGCTCTTGCCTTGTATGAGTGTTAATGCTCCTTTAAGGGCCTGTCACAGTGTCTCTCTCACACACCTTCAGAGTGTCTGGACATTGTATGATGGACAATGAATAAAGCAAATGGTCATGTTATCAAACATTGGATCAGTACAGTGAGCTCAGTGATTTACACCATTATGGTTTCTCTCTCTCTCTCTCTCTCTCTCTCTCTCTCTCTCTCTCTCTCTCTCTGAAAAAAGCAATCTCTTGGCTTGTTATTGTCTAGACAATGCCCTCAGGCTAAATGTTGTCTCTCTAGTGTTCTCAGACTTTAGACGGATACACTGTCTCCCTCGACACACCTTTCATGCCAGAAATATGAGTGAGAAATGACAGATTCTGGAGACAGATTCTGGGTTTTATATTTGCAGTAGTGTTTGTGTACTTTACTGACAAACGTTTTCTGATGGATAAATGGTAACATATAACTAGAGAACTGCAACATATTTTTGGTTCACAGATTCATAATCACAATACCAGACCGTTCTCATCCCAAGACGTCATCTAACTGACGCTTTTGACCATACGTCTACATCCAACATTTTAGGGCACCCTTTAACGTCAGTCAGATGACGCTATCTAACCTTAACCCTACCCCAGACCTAAACCTACCCGCATCATCTAGGATAGCTTCGGATGTTGACGTATGGTCAAAAGCATCAGTTAGATGATGTCTTGGGATGAGAATGTGTTGACAATACACATGCTTTTCAAAAGTATTATTTTGTGATTTTGTGTCTAAATCATAAAAATAACTTTGTTATTGCTGATCTGCTTGTATTACTTCTATCTATCTATCTGTCTATCCATATATCCATCCATCCATCCATCCATCTATCCATATATACCTATACATTAATTCAGCGGAAAGATATTTCCCGAACCCAATGCATGTTGGGATACCCTTAGCCTGGAATACCGCTCTGATGTGGTATTCAATATAGTGTGGGTTTAGTGTGCATTTAGTGCACTATGCTTTGGGATTTAAAAAAAAAAAAAATGGGACAGTCTTGCGCGCCCACTTCCTGACGCATGCACAAGTGGCCAAAACCGCAAGTGTGGGTCTTTGGAAAGGCCCTCAGTCTGGTAACCCGAAGGTTGCAGGTTCAATTCTCAATACCGGTAGGAAATGACTGAGGTGCACTTGAGCAAGGCACCTAACCCCCAATCACACCCCTAGTGCCACAAAATGGCTGCTCCAGGGGGGGTGTTTATGGTTTGCAGTGTGTATTCACTACTCTCTACTTCTAACTAACTTGGATGGGTTAAATGCAGATTCAGAGTACAGGTCACCATGCTTGGCATTCACATGTCACTTTCATTAAAAAAAATGATAAACTGCTTTATTTAATGTTTTGTGTCACTTTTTCTTGGATTACTGCACAGTACATCACAACTGTGTATTGCCACTTAGTGGACTCTTCTGTCTCAACATTCACCTTGCGCATGCACTGTTAGACACCTATCATTCATTTAGAAGGTGTATTTAAATATCAACCAGCAGTTATGTGTATTTTTGTGCTAATAAAATGTAACAGTCCAAACAGGACATTAGGACATCAGCTCATAGATACACCGCTGAATTCCCAGAGTTGTTTTGACATTGACGTTGTTGTTAAATGTCATTTTGACATGCTGTCCCCTCTCACTTTCAGGAGTTTTCACCAAGTGCCGTTATGTCTACTACGGGAAGCACTCAGAGGGCAATCGATTCATCCGCAATGACCAGCTTTGACTGACAGGTGGGTCAGTGGATAGACACGCGAGGGGGTTTTACAAAGATATCCTGCGCATATTATTATAAATATACATGTTGCCACACACATTTTAAGCAGCCAAACACAGCCCTCTAGTGCCGTCTGCTGAGTGTGCCTTCCCTGCCACCTCCCATCGCTCTCGCTCCGTCTGAGCAGTGCCATCCAGATTGACATGATTGCCTTTAAGCAGCCCCGCTATGCTGCGGTGACAGACACACACGCGGCTGAGTGCTCGTCCTGACAGCCGCGGCTCTATGATGGATTGCCTGGTCCAACTGCTGCTCTCCCCAGGTCAAAGGTCCCACCTGAGGCTTCAGGCTGCCCACACGGAAGCCCAGGATGAGCTCCTCTCAAAGTCAAAGCTAAAGTTACAGAGAAACATCGGGGAGAAAGTGTCTCTTATTGATGTTTTACACTTTAATCTGTCATTAAAAGTAAAGCTCATTTCATGGTTTTGTAACCATGTCATTTTCCGTACATTACTGTAGGCGTAATGTCACTTTGAGTCATTGGATTCTTTTGTTCCCCCAATTAAGAGCAAAAATAAAAAAGGCTAATGAATTTAAAGATAAAAATTCAAAATCAAAGATAAAATTTTGTTTAAATTTATTAGCCTTTTTAAGCTTTAAAAATAAAAGGCATGATCAAGGGTTTAATAACATATTTCCTGTTTATATATATATATATATATATATATATATATATATATACAAAGAAACAAGTTTTTTATTATATATTAGGTTCTGTCAAACGATTAATCATGATTAATCACATCTAAAATAAAAGTGTTTACATAAAATATGTGGGTGCACTGTGTATAATTATTATATATAAATACACACACATGCTTGTATATATTAAAGAAATATTTTCATGTATGTACTGTATGTAGATTTATGTATAATTTATATTATATACATATACATATTTTATATATATAATATTTTTTTCTTAAATATACACACATGTGTGTGTGTGTGTGTGTGTGTGTGTGTGTATATATATATATATATATATATATATATATATATATATATACACACACAAAATAATTATACACAGTGCACCCACATATAGTATGTAAACACAATGTAAACTTTTATTTTGGATGCAATTAATCGCGATTAATCATTTGATAGCCCTTATACTATATATATACAAGTTGTAACATCCAATAAAGCTTTGGATCATATATTAATGTATGTTATGCGTTAATGATCCAAAGTTCTATTGAATGTTTTCAGCCTGAGTTTTATCAGAAGCTCAGCTGAGGCCCTCCCAGGCTCTTGACTCTGTGGCGTGTGTATGTTTGCATGTTTGTGAGGTGCATGTGCATGTCGTGTGTGAAGTTTGTGTGTTGCGGGGGCAGTTGTTGCAGAGCTGGAGCCTGGAGGAGCTGTGAAAGAAAGAGGTAATGAGCTTTGCTTTATTTCATTCTTTCTCTGGAGGGAGAGAGCAAAGAAAGACAGCCGCTCTGGCAGTGAAAGTGGAGGAGGTGGATGGATATATGTGTGAGGGGGGAGTCAACAACTTTCTCCAGTCTTTTTGATTGTTTCCTCATGCAGTTTTTGGGCATACTCACGTTATTTTAATGATTTTTTTTCTTTTCTTTTTTAAATCAATTAAAAAAAATCCATAATGGCCTTTACTGTGTTTGGCAACAGAATTTACTACCAGTGGGCAAATATTTAAAACATCAACCCAGTGAGGAAGATAAATGCGTAATGTCCTTTCTTTCTTTCTTTCTTTCTTTCTTATTACATTCCACATTTAAAGCTCAGTTCTTGCGCTGAAGTTTGTACACAATATAGCTAAAGATCAAAGTTTATACTGTATTTATATTTTAATTTAAGTGTTTACTGTAGAAATGCAAAAAGATTAATAATAATAATTAAAGATTAGCTGTTACTTAAAGATTTGATTTGAAAATCAATATTATTGACGTGAAATTTGAGATCAGTTTGATTGTTGTATAGATCCTCTTTTTATGTCAAACAATGTCTCTCAGTGTGACGCACTATACCATCTAAAACTACTGGAACATTTTTAGGATTACAACAAAATAAATAAATAAATGATTCATATTGTTCTTATGACTTTATTTTGATTCAACAGACTATGTAGTATTTTGTACTTTTCAAAAAATCTTTTGTTCACTGCAAGACTATGTAAGTCAACTGCAAAAAAATGACAATGTAAACTATGCATATATATATATATATATATATATATATATATATAGTCTTATTGTGTGTACTGGAAATATTGTATTTTATGTAATGTAGAATGGAAAATTAAGCTACATTTTACCTTTTGGTTTATAAATTGAAATGCTAATCTACTGTCTTTAATAATAAATAAAATGATCTGGGGCAAAAATCCAGTGTTCTTTCAATTATTCTATTTCATATTATTATATAGATGTATATTATTATTATTAGTTAATGACTGAATCTTATTGTTGTTTCATCTTTGTTTGTCTTGTAAGCATTCATTATTAATGGCATCATTTTGCCTGGCACCATCTCGCTTAATTGCCGTGTGTTAAACGGCCTCCAAAGTATGCCATCCAAATTAGCCTGGCAAATGAGAGACGTGGCTTTAGATGTGAAAGAAAGCATGTGTACCCGGAGCAGCGCTCGGCAACGTGAAGCACACAGGGAAAGGTCAAAGATAGCCCAGTGTGATGATTTCATGTGCACTGGCTGTGTGGGTTTGGCTGTGGGTCACAGGTTGTGCGAGTCTTTGCCTTACGCACATGTCGGTCCAAGTGTGTGCGTTTTGTGTCTGAGAGGAATATTCTACTATGTGTGTGTGTGTGTGTGTTTATACAGTACATTTGTGGCTTCGGCCCTATGAGACTATGCGTATGCGTCGCTCCTGTCGTACTGCTGGAGAGCATGGTCACTAGTGCGGGCGTTTCTAAATGACAAGGTTTATTTGTCGTTGTTGTGATATGTTTTGAGAAAAGTGGCACTGACAGCTGGTGGAGGCAGCAAGAAGGAGCCACAACAAGTCCCCCCCACCACCACCACCACCACATAAAATGTCATCTCTTCCCCGGCTGGCTCACCCAACCATCCCCATGAAAAGAACAGACATTTAAAACTTTGTGACATGTGTCAGAGACGCTGCCATTGAGCCACTGCCGCTGATGTAGCCAGAATTGACAGCACCCGAGCCGCTGGAGCTGGCTTGGGGACATACCGAGTTTGGTGAGTGTCAGTTCCCATCCTCGTCAGGGCCTCATCTCAAGCAGCTCCGCAAATATAAACAGCATTAGAAGGCGGGCGGAAGTGCAGCGGGAAGACATATGCTGACAGACACACGCGTGTGTGTTCGAGAGAGCGATAGGAAAGGCGCACGGCGAGGACTAATTAAGGTGTGAGAAGTCGAGAGCAACCTGTAGGCTCTGACCTGGGACTCCTTTCAGGCAGGGCTTCGGGAAAAGCTCCTCGGTAGGAGGCCCGGAGGAAAGGGTGATGCTAAATCAGCACCAACTCAATGAAAAGATCATCATGATGTTTACACAACTATCATGGTTTACAATTTTTTGACAAATGCTATTATTCACAGTAATAACACAGTAATAACAGGTACATTTAGATTCTAGCTGTATCTCGATTTAAAGGGTGAGTTCACCCAAAAAGTAAGACCTTCGTTCATCTTCGGAACACAAATGAAGATTTGTACTACATAGGCTTCTAAGGGATTGAAACTTGACGGCCCAGAAGGTCATTGATGAAAATGTTGAAATATTCCATGTGACTACAGTGGCTCAACTATAAGTTTATCAAGCGACGAGAATACTTTTTGTGCGGAAATAAAACAAAAATAACGACTTTATTCAACTATTCCTTTACTTTCTGGTCCGAATAAGTCGAATAAAGTCATTATTTTTGTTTTATTTCCACACAAAAAGTATTCTCGTCGCTTGATAAACTTAGACTTGAACCACTGTAGTCACATGGAATATTTAAACATTTTCTTCGATGACTTTCTGGGCCGTCAAGTTTCAATCCCTTAGGCATCCTATGTAGCAGTGATCCACCTCTCAAATTTAATCAAAAATACCTTCATTTGTGTTCCAAAGACGAAAAAAGTTCTTACGGGATTGGAGGTGAGTAATTAATGACTTAATTAAAATTTTTGGGTGAACTAACCCTTTATGGATCACAGTAAACCAGTTCATCAATGCCGTAAGATATGTGACACCACTATCTGTTTGTCAAACAATGGAAGATGGGAGGATTGTTCTGGAAAGCTCTTTGAAAATGGTCATTCTCTGATATGAATGGCTCAGAATTGAACAGCTATCACAAAAGTAACGAGAAAAGGGGCAAAGACTGGGGCAGCGTGCAAAATCAGTGTTGTATATGCGGTTTCATCAAAAAGCCCAGGGCTGTATCAGAGCACACCACGACTACCCAACAGTCAGCACGAATGCCCGTCAAAGCTGCGCGGGAAATCATCTGTAGTCATCAGTTATTAGGCTACTCTCTCAGAATGACTGACGTCGGCCAATGCAAATGAGAATGCGTGCAGCGCGCATAGTATCGGTGATTGACAGCTGTGCGCTGATAGCGGATGCCAAACGAATGAGTGAGAGGTGAGACGGGGAGCAGATCGCTCTCCAAAAGCTCACGGCTCCATCTTTTACGACAGACACGAGGAGATATTAGCCCGGGCAGACGGGAGAGGGAAAAGGGCAGGCGGGGAGAGAAAGAGCTTTATTTCCGGCGCGGTTTCAGATGAGTAGCATTTGTCATGGAAGGGGAAGATGGTGTAATTAGCTTGTCAGTCTGCTTTAGGCTGAGCTCGCGAGCGCCGGTAAGAAAGATGGACGAACTGCCACGCGAGTTGACAGGCAGTCGATAATGTGGCAATTAATGTCATAAATAATTCCTCTACCAATTATATTCGAATGGACCCTGCGCTTTAAAAAGAGAATGCGTTCCCTTATCATTTCCTCTATCGGCAAGCATCACCATCATTTCCAACATAATTATTTCTCTTCAAACATCTCAAGAGAGGATGACCCGTGCTTTCAAGTAAAGAAAAAAAAACTTTTTTTTATTTTTTTTTTATTAAATACTGAACACTATTAGAATTGTGTGTTTGTGTTTCGTAAATGTCATGGTCGGGTCCTAGACAAGATTACACGCTAATGTAATTTCAAAATATGGAGGGCATTAGATAAATCAATTTGGCTTATTTTAAAGGTTGCCAAAGCCTTACTAACATGCAGCGTATTGATCCGGCACCACCTTACTGTGGGAAAATGCTGGTCTACCTGATCTCTGAAGTCAAAGCAAATGTTTCCCAGAATACATCAATTACTGCAAAGAAACTACACATGGGAATGATATTCAAATATTTACATCAATCATGCAATCGCAATCGGTCATGTTTCCAGATGACAGCCTATTTAATATTTGTCTATATTTTGTCTTGTGCATGCTAAATGACAGATATACTGTATGCCTGATTAACAGTGGAATTCATGGAAGTCCATCAACACTATTACTGTCCTAGCGAGCACATAATAAATGGTTATGGCTTCCACTTTCTCACTGTATCAGTGGCTTTGTGATTATTAATTGTCTGTCTGAGGCGAATCAAATGGTGGTGGGGCTGTTGTAAACGGCTTCCCATCCGTTGTTGTTAAACCACTGTTGAAAT